ACCTTACTTAACTATTTTGCTCCAGTTTGATCACTTCTATTTACAGTGCCATTAATAATTTAAAGTTAATATTCTCTTTTGATAACTATTAATACTTATACATGCTTTAATGTAATTTTTAGATAGTATTTGAATCATTGATAATTTTAGGAATAAAAAATATAAAACAATTATATTTCTGAAATAATTTTCAGAAATTATTTCCCAGCCTGAAAATTTTCCTTTAGCTTTTCTTGAAGTTCAGATCTGATGGTGACAAAGTCTTTTAATTTTCTTACATCTGAAAATGTTCTTATTTTGTCTTCCAAAAAAATTTTTTTTTTAGTATATGTGCCAAAGTGAATACTTGTTTTCATTCTTGAAGGATATTTTAGTTGGATAGAGAACTTTCTTTGCACAGTTATGGGTGTGTATGTTTTAAATTCAGGACTTTACAGATGTTGTTCCACTGTCTTCTGGCCTCCATAGTTTTTGATTAGGAGTCTGTGATAATGTTACTCCCTTCTATGTAATGTGTCATTTTCCTCTGGCTGCTTTCAAGATTTTCTCTTTATTTTTGGCTCTCAGCAGTTTGGTTATGATGTGATAGGCATCATTTTCTTTGTATTTATGCTGCTTTAGATTTGCTTAGGTTTGGAAAGATGTAAATGTATAATTTTAACCAAAACGAGAGAAATTTTGACTTTAATATATTCAAATATTTTTTCACCCATCTCTTTCTTTCTCTCTCTTTGTTTTCCTCCCTCCCTCTCATTTTCTTCTAGGACTATAATTATACAAAAGCTAGGCAATATATTATTATCCCAAAGTTCTTTGAGGCTCTGCATATTTTTCTTTAGATTTGATAATTTCTTTTAATCTGTCTTAAAATTTACAGTCTTTTTTCTGCCATCTCCATTTTCTGTTAAACCCTTGTACTGACTTTTATTTATTTATTTTTGAGACAGGCTAGAGTAAAGTAGTATGTTCTCAGCTCACTGCAACCTCCACTTCCTGAGTTCAAGTGATTCTTGTGCCTCAGCATCCCAAGTAGCTGGGATTACAGGAGGACGCCATCATGCTCAGCTAATTTTTGTATTTTTAGTAGAGATGGGGTTTTGCCATGTTGGACAGGCTGGTTTCGAACTCCTGACTGCAAGTGATCTGCCTGCCTTGACCTCCCAAAATGTAGAGATTACAGGCATGAGCCACTGCACTCAGCCTATGCTTACTTTTAAATTTCAGATATTGCAATTTTAAGTTAGAGATTTTCCATTTGGTTCTTTTTAAATTTTTAAATTTATTTTGTATTTATTTTTGAGACAGGGTCTCACTCTGTCTCCTAGGCTGGAGTGCAGTGGTGCCATCATAGTTCACTGCAGCCTTAATCTCCCAGACTCAAGCAATCGTGCCTCAGTTTCTTGAGTAGCTGGGACTGCAGGTGAGTGCCACCACACCCGGCTTTTTTTAAATAGAGATGAGATCTCACTGTGTTGCCAAGGCTGGTCTCAGACCCCTGGCTTCAAGAGGTCCTCCCGTCTCCGCCTCCCAAAGTGCTGGATTACTGGCATGAGCCACCATGCCTGGTGTTGGTTCTTTCCGTTAAACATAATTTCCATTTTTCTTCACATTAATTATAAGCAAATTTTTCTTTATTTCATTGACAGTAATTAGAATAGCTGCTTCAAATTCTTTTTCAGTTCCAACATCTGGGTCATCTCAAATTGGTCTCTATTTATTGTCTCTACTCTTGAGACTGGATCACAGTTTCTGATTCTTTACATGTTGAGTAACTTTAGGTTGAATTCTGGATACACACTGGATACTATTATATTCCTCTGAAGAGCATTGGTGTTTTTGTTTTATCAAGCCGTTAACTTGGTTGAACTGAAATTATACACTGTCTTTTGAGCAGCAGCTCAAGTCTCAGTTCAATTCTGTATCCTTGTCTAGGCTGTTTTGAAATCTGCTCTGTGCATACTTAGTTCAGGTCAGTCACACACTTGGTTAAAACATATATGCAGAAATCAGAATTCTCCTGGTTTTCTCTTCTCAAAAATTATCTCCTTACTTTCTAGTGGCTATGATGGCCCCAGCCTTTGTTCTTTTGTTCTTTAGGTCAGAAAAGTCATAATTCTTCTGGCAAAGTTTTATCTACTCCATGTAGAGCTGACTTTGGCTTGTCTCTAAGATTAAAGCCATAGAGACTGTGGCACAATTATAGCTCACTGCAGCCTCAATCTCCCAGGTTCAAGCAATCCTCCTGCCTCAGCCTCCTGAGTAGCTGGGACTAAAGGCACCCACTACCATGCCTGGCTAATTGTTTTGATTTTTAATAGAGATGAGGTCTTGCTACGTTACCCAGGCTCATTTTATGCCTTTCTTTTCTTCCAAGTTTTTTTTTTTTTTTGAGGCGGAGTTTCGCTCTTGTTACCCAGGCTGGAGTGCAATAGCGCGATCTCGGTTCACTGCAGCCTCCACCTCCTGGGTTCAGGCAATTCTCCTGCTTCAGCCTCCTGAGTAGCTGGGATTACAGGCATGCGCCACCATGCCCAGCTAATTTTTTGTATTTTTAGTAGATACGGGGTTTCACCATGTTGACCAGGATAGTCTCGATCTCTTGACCTCGTGATCCACCCGCCTCAGCCTCCCAAAGTGCTGGGATTACAGGCATGAGCCACCACGCCCGGCCCTTCTTCCAAGTTTTGACTGTGCTCCTGAATGTCTGTTTGTGTTCACTCTTTATACCCTCAGGTCATTGCTCTTTTTTTCTTTTGTGTTTTATCCAGAGTTCACAGCTGTTATGTTTGTGACTCCTGATTTCTATAGGAGTCTCTTTAGCCAGACCAGAAGCTGGACTCCTCTGTGTTCTTAGGAGGTAATATAATTTATCTTCCAACAGTTGAACCTCTGAGGCAAGTTACACCCACCAACTTCAATAGCACTTTTTTGGTACCACTTAACAGCCTTTGTTATTAAATAACTATTTGCATACTTATTTGTTTAATGCATCTTTCTCATGAGACCATGTCCTCCTGTGATCTCAGCACCTAGCCTGGTACATAGCAGCAGTCCCCTAAATATTTGTTGAGATGAATACGGACAGGAGCTGAGGAGGCCTAAGTCAGGACAAAGGCACCGAGTACAGAAAGAACAGGATGTGTTTCAGGGAAACTTCAGAGAAAGCTTCTTTGCTTTTTGGCTAGATGAGGGGGGTGCGAGGAAGCTGGAGGAGCAAGCCTCAAGGATTCTAGTTGGAGTTAATCGGTGGATGGTAATATGCATAGGACAGGTAAAAAGGGCTGTGCTTTAGACAGGATGCTCTGAGCATTGAGAAAAATGATTCTTTGGTCTCTGCATGTTGATGAATCCTAATTTGTGATTAGCATGTAACCTGCCCTAAGCCCATTTTTGTCTGGGGCTGAGATTCAAGAAGGAGCAGTAACCAAGTTTCTAATTCTTCTCTCCTGTTCAGGTGCAGCTGGATCTGCTGAGAGAGAAGTGAGCAGGTCTAGAATCTAGGGAGTCTATTAAGGAAGGGTGTTTCTCTCGGATAAGGAGCTGAGGGTTGAAATGTAATCCTACAAACCTTAGCCTCCCTAGGACTCCATTAAATTGTTCCTATTAGCGTGATTGCACCAAGATACCACAAGAGCATGGGGAGCTATTAGAAAACCTGAAAATGAGGGGAGAGATTTCGGAAACTGTGCCTCAGCCATGATTTAGGAGTCTCACTAAATTCATAAGTGGAAATGTCTGACAGCCTTGGAACCTGAAATCGTTCATCTTCCTGGTGGAATACAAGTTCGCTTGTGCAGTAAAATGAAAAGCGGTGGTGAACGCTGCAGTAAAGTTCATGTTCGCTTAGTAGCGAGGTTGGGATTAGAGCATAATTACCCTAGAAATGCTGGCTGCGGCCTCCTTTCCTGAAAGCCACCAGGGGAAAGGCAGCATCTATTACCTGATTCTAGGGCACTAGCCAGAGTTTCCCATTAGCAACTTTGATTGCATCTGGAGTCACAGGCTTTCAGCTAATTCTTCAACAAGTAGTTGTTGTTTTTCAAACCTCAGTCAAGACATTTAGCACCAGGAACACCTCTCCTGATGGACTCCCCCTGCAATTAAGAAAAACAGGTTTCCAAGGGGGAGAAAGCTTTGTTGTGAGCTGTAACTTGCAGAAGGATTTCTGTTGCCACTTCTGTGTTGCAGCGGCCCTCATCAGAATGTCTGGTTCTCTGCCACCCACCCCCACAGCTATGCCCTAGGGGACTGATTACCTTGTAGTCAGGGGGAGTTAGAAGTGGAAATGAGATGATGAAGAATGAAGCAGTTCAAGTAACTGGATGGGGACTTGTAGAAACAGACTCGTGCATTCATAGTATTTTGCACAACAGAACAACATTGCTAACCAAATGTCAATGACCCTCACCTGTGGACTCCTTCCCACACAAGCAGCTAATTCTGGGGGCCCAGGGACCATATCTGGTGAGCACTCTAAGCACACCTCCTCTGCTTCTCTGCACCAGCCCCCTCATTGTGCATCCTCAGGTGCAGCCTGGTCCAGCCAAACAGGCACTACTGCAACTCTAAGTTGCTCTTCTGAGCACTAAAGTCACTTTCCTGTTCCCCACTGCGGTCTGCCTGAGTCTGCAAGGTCCCAAGTCTCCCTCTCCAATTCACTCTATAAAGCAACATTGTGTGTGCTCAGAGCTCCATGAGGTTCTTCCTGAAAACAGCCCCTGCATGTCTCCCAGGCTACCTTGTTCTCTGCAGTTGTGGTTGTCACAGCGGAGCCTCACAGCCAGCTTTCTGTAGATACTGAGGTCTAGATTGCACCCTGGACCACTGAAATTAGGATCCCATGGAGTAGGCCTTGGTATTGTAATTTATAAGCTCACCAGGTGACTCCAATGGTCATGGGGGGTTGAGCACCACGGCTCTGCAAGATGCAGGAATTAGGATCCCATGGAGTAGGCCTTGGTATTGTAATTTATAAGCTCCCCAGGTGACTCTAATGGTCCTTGGGGGCTGAGCACCACGGCTCTGCAAGACGCAGGTCAGAATCTGACCTCTGGCTGGGCTGGGCAGAGCAGAGGGTTGCTACTTCCTTCTTTCCCCATCTCCAGTCCTAGACACCTGTAGATCTCTTTCCTCCCACACAGTTAGATGTCTGCCTTGCATGGTACTGGCGATAGCTCACCAGTTCGGCTAGAGGCCAGACTTTGGACTCCAGTTTACTCGTCAACATTGTAAGTAGCAATTTTAAATACTACTTTTGTTCTCTGCTGATAAATATGATATGAAGCTGTGGGCTCAGTGTCTTACTACTGAGAAAAAATGTGGAGTGGAAGGCTTAACAGAGCCACAGAATCCATTTCTGGATATATGACCTTCAATCAATTAAACTACCTGAACCTCAGCTTTCTTACCTGTAAAGTGGGAATGCTGTAGTAGTATCTACCTTGTGGTGCAGAAACTGGGTGATGTATACAAAATTTGTCCAATAAGATGGTATGAAAAAGCAACACCTTGCTATTTATTATCCAGCTGGTCTTGCAGATCTGGGACTTGAACTTATTATAGTGAGTATCACTGATTCATCATAAATTTGTTACCGCTATTGGAAAAGCTATTCCGGGTCGGGTGCAGTGGCTCATGCCTGCAATCCCAGCACATTGGGACACTGAGGAGTGAGGATCATTTGAAGTTAGGATTTTAAGACCAGCCTGACCAATGTGGTGAAACCCCATCTCTACTAAAAATACAAAAAAAAAAAATAGCCCGATGTGGTGGCGTACCCCTATAATCTCAGTTACTTGGGAGGCTGAGGCAGGAGAATTGCTTGAACCCAGGAGGCAGAGGTTGCAATGATGAACAATTATCAACATCTGTGCCACTGTACTCCAACCTGGGTGACAGAGTGAGACTCCATCTCAAAAAAAAAAAAAAAAAGCTATTCTGAGCACATTTCCTGGTGATGAAACCTTAATGCCTTATCTTTGCAAATGGGGAACAGCTTTATCACTATTTTTTAACTCTGAGATCTTTTATAATAGTAATATTTTCTATAGGCATAATTGTTCATCTTCCTAGTACCAGGAATTTGGCCCTGGAATAATCCTCAGTTTTCTAAAAAGGTATCTTCTAGATCAGAGGCTCTTAAATATTTGCAGTAACATAAGCACCTGGAAGTTGTGTTAAAAAGTATGGCCGGGCCCCAACCCCGAAGTTTCTGATAGAGCAGGTTTGAGTGGGGCCCAATAATTTGAATTTCTAACAAGCTCCCAGGTGAGGCTGATGCTGCTGGTTCAGGGAGCCCACATGGAGAACCACTGTGTAGACTTTCTCTATAGCTTGTCACAGCATAACCTCCAGGCCGGTGTTTTTATCTTTAGCTTCACCTTAGAATTACCTGGAGAGCTTTTAAAAATACTGACCCCTGGGACTCACCCCACACTGATGGAATTGTTGTCTCTAGGTGGGGCCAGGGCATCACTGTTTTTTAAATGCTTTGCTCCAAGGGTTGTTTCAATGTGCAGTCAGAGGTGAGAACCACTGGCTTGGCCTAAATCACGTTTCCCTGCTTCCAGTCTTGTGCCCTGTCACTGATTCTGTGCTCAGCAGCAGAGGTTATTTTTAAAATATGAATTAGCCAATATCGTGGCATTTCTCTGCTTGAAGCAACTCCATTTGCTTCCCCATGTGCTCAGGATCTGTACTGACCTCCAGACTTGGCTAAACTGACACCCTCCCGACAGGGCAGCTGCACTCTGTCTCTGCATCTCGCATATGCACCAGCATGTGGGCCTCCTTTCTGTTCCTCCAACAGGTCAGCCCTGCCCCATGCCAGGCCTTGGTCCTTGTCCTTTCTGGCTGGGCTGCTCCTTCCTTCTGTCCTTTGAGCATCAGCTCAAGTGTCCCCTCTTCAGAGAGGTCTTCCTTGGCCATCCACGTTTACATGTCCACCACGTAGATTTGTGCAGCTTAAGGGCTGTACAGTTCCATAGGTGCCCTTCATATCATGGTTATACTCTCATATTTCTTTGCCTACTGTCTTTTTAGTGCAGATCAAATTTAAGGTCTTGTTTATTTACCTGACTACTAGTGTATAATATGTCTCCCAAACTAGAAATTGGCTTCCAGAGGGTAAGGACTGAGTCTGCCCTGGTCACTGCTGTTCCAGGTGCCTGCCAGGGAGTAGGTCCACAAATAAATTTGAAGTGAATCTTTTAAATCGGGGGCTGCAGGTACTTACTCTGTTCTGTGACAACTGCTGCAAAGGACCAGCAACTCCAGACACACCTGAAGATAGATTTTGACGGCTTTTGGGCTATATCTGGGGACACTGGAGGCCAAGCTGGGATTCCTCTTGCTCTGAGTGGACTTCTCACTGTCTGCCTGTTACAGCCTAGGTCAGACAGTGATGGGAGGGGCTGGCAGACCAGCACCCACACTGTGCTTGGCAGGGAGACATGACAGGTGATGAAGGGGTCTGGAGTGCTTCTCTTACAGAGGGGTGGAGCTGGAGAGGTGTCAGTAACTGATAATTGCCCATTTTATATGGAGGGTTTATAGGGTAATCTCAATTAATTGTTTCTGAAAGAGTAGTAAAATTAGGCAAGGAGGCCATCCGTGATGATGACTCATGAGGGGCGGCTGCACAGACAGGCGATTAGCAACATGGAGGTCAGAGTGGTCTGGATGTGAAGGGCATCACATGCCCAGAACAAGGCTTCCTGGCTGAAGCATAGTCTTTGAAGGAGCCTAAATGGCAATTGCAAGGTTGCACTTCTAGTGTAAGAAAAGGCTTGGAGGACAGAATTCTGTGCTGCAGAGAAGGGATGTAGAGTCACAAAGGGTCAGATCTGAAAATCTGGTGATCAGAAGCAAGCAGGTCTTTTTCCTGCAGACTTTTTTCCTTAAGCACAAAGAAGTTTTTCACAATTATATAGATCCCTATACATTCTGCAGGTGCAATATTTTCTCGCAGGATTCATATAATGTATGATGCAAATTTCTATGCAAAACTGAAGTGAGATGGAAAGAAATGAACAATCATATAATTATCCTTGAATTTCAGGATAATAGGTAACATTGTCCAAAATGTAGCCACCCACTTATACTCATTAGGTCAGAGAGTGTGTTAGGCATATTATTATTCAAAAAATTTTGGTGGGGTGTGGTGGCTCATGCCTGTAATCCCAGCACTTTGGGAGGCCAACGTGGACAGATCACTTGATCCCAGGAGTCGAAGACCAGCCTGGGCAACATAGTGGGACCTCATCTCTCAAAAAAAAAAAAAAAAAGCTGGGTGTGGTAGTGCATGTGTATAGTCCCAACCTACTTGGGAGGGTGAGGTGGGAGGATTACTTGAGCCCGGGAGCTGGGGTTTGGAGTGAGCTGAGATCATACCACGGCACTCTAGCCTGGGTGATAGAGTGAGATCCTGTCTGAAAAAACTAATTAATAGTAAATTAGGAAATATGTCACTAGGACCTCAGACTTGTGTGTTTGCCTCTGTATAGTGGTACAAAGTCACTTGCACAAATAAATTTAGATAGAAAAGTGTGAGTTGATTTTAAAGAACACAACAAAGAGATAGAGCAACAATTATATAGGGGCTTCAGAATTACTGGGAACTAGGATTAGTGCATTCAGACCTAAGCAAATAATTATTTTTTTCTTTGTTTTATGGATGGAACTGTGAGGAAAATTGGTTTGCTATACACATCTTCAGCATACAAATTTGAGAAGAGTGGGATTAACTGGCACCTTTGATCACCTGTTTATTCTTTGAATGGATTGGATGTTTCTTAAGGGAGGTTCAGGGAGGAGGGCTGAAAAGCAAGGAGAATCTACTTAATCAGCTGGATTAGCCTAATCAGCTCTGGCTTTCCGATCGATGGAAGACAGATGCTGTTGTCAAATGATGCTAGCTTCCTCCAAAAATCTGCACTGCCTCTGGACACAACCTGGAAATCCTTTCTAGTATCCTTTGGCCCTGGCAAGGCTCAGCAAACAGCAATCTTTTCCTACATTTACAATTTAAAGCTTAGTTTAAAATTCTTATTTGTGGGCCAGGAGCGGTGGCTCACGCCTTTAATCTCAGAACTTTGGAAGGCCAAGGTGAAGGGGATGGGGGGGTATCATCTGAGATCAGAAGTTCGAGACCAACCTGACCAACATGGAGAAACTCTGTCTCTTGGAGAAAATACAAAATTAGCTGGTATGGTGGCATGTGCCTGTAATCCCAGCTACTCAGGAGGCTGAGGCAGGAGAATTGTTTGAACCTGGGAGGTGGAGGTTGCAGTGAGCCGAGAACGTGCTATTGTACTGCAGCCTGAGCAACAAGATGGAAACTCTGTCTCAAAAACAAACAAACAAAAAAAGCAAAAAAAACAACATTCTTATTTGCACTAGCCACATTCAAATGCTTAATAGCATCATGTAGCTAGTCCTACCGTATTGGATAGCACAAATATGGAATATTTGTTCCTGAAAAAGTTCATTGGCCAATTCATTGATTCAGCAGTTAGTGAGGCCGTTCTGAATCAAAGAATTCTTTCTGAAACTTTGGACCAAATCAGCCTATTTTCCAGGAGGATCATCCAATCCTGAGGGATTTGGGGTATGTGGGTGGGTGTGTTAGGGTGAGGAAGACGATCAGCAGTCAGTAAGGTTTTTTTCCATTTTCCCATTCCTCCCCATTTCTTAGTCAACATGCATCCCCCCAGGATACGCCTCTTGTCAACATGCTACTCCATCTGGGGTTGATTGGCTTCTCCACACGAATCCTGTGTCTATCTTGGGTTTACTAATTCAAAGGAATTCTTGCTATTTCTGGAAAGGGTTAATATGCAGTGAATCAAAAAGAAAAAATCACGTCCTTTCCCTCAAGGCAGCGAAATAATCCACAGGCAATGATAACTCTCTCTGGCAGACAGTATATTTAAAAGAATAAGAAAAGAGGTGACTTAAAGGTGGAAGGAAATTTATTTGGAGTTTCTCCAAGTGGAGTCAGGAGATTGAACTGGAAAAGCCACAAGTGGCTGTTGAAAACTCTGGATGTTGCTGTTAAATGGGTCTCATCCATGGTAGCACAGACTCACTGCTTGCAGTTGGAGTGATGCAGGAGAAACATCGATTGAGTGCTAAGAAAACAAGTATCTCCACTCGACTGGAGAAAATACAACATGCCACATGCTTAGTGAAAATCAATAATGCAGGAAAATTTACTGGCTGCTATTCA